AGTAGCTGGAACTGAGGTGGCTACAGAGACCTGGACCACCTGCCTAAAATAAAACCCCTTTGAGAGGCTCAAATATAGTTGTGTTGTTAGTTTCCCAACTCAGAACAAAACTAATCTCTTTGCAAATTAACAGAGATTCAATTACTCTGAACTATCCTGAGGTACAGCTCAGTTGAAGTTCCAAATTCCCCGCTGGTATTTACCATCATTACTTCCTGCTTGTAAACTTCACAAAGACCACAGTTTAAAGCTCTGACAGTGCCTGTAAACTAAGGAGGGTGGTGCATCCCGCATAAACGGCTGCATTACTCACCTGCGTGAAACATCTCTATATGCACCAGGTCTGCACTCATCTTGTTATGAGAGGGATAAGTTTGGTTTGGTTTTAGACACATGCTAAAAAAGCACATTTCTTAACATTAGCCAAACTCAAACATTACTCTTTTTGAGTCGCCTGGTGGATTTTAAAAGGTTTGTCTACACATCAAAGGATTTGTTTGTTGCATCACCTTAAACCTGATGATTGTTTGCTAGTGAACATCCACTAGTTCCTGCTAATTTCTCTGTGTATGTATTCAGAGTGAGACTGTTTACCTGATTGTTCCTCTTTTCTGATAAAAGTGTACAAATCATTATATTATTTTGATCTGAAGAAACATTTAGTCTTCATGCACACACACAGGCAAACGCTCCCCCACGTCCCCCCTCCCAGATCCATCCATCTCTAAGAGATGCAGTCGCACAAAAAGAAAAGAAATAGCATTTCACATGTACTTGAGCTGAGAGTAATCAAAGCCAAAGCCACCTACTCACCCACCAATATCTTGACACCTCTTTGTTTCTCGCACTCTCCACTATTCAGTTGATATTTCTATCGCATGCTTTCACCCACCGCCTCCTTCTATTCACCTCCTCCCTCCGATCCATAACTAACGCCAATTTATCAGATGTACTGGCAGCAGCAGACAGACACAAATGCTGCCAAAGCAAAACAGCACCAGAAGTTACTTAAAGGGTTAGGCTGGCTTTTTTTTAAGCAGGATTGTAATAATCGCTCTGTAGTTACAGTATTAGACAGCGGGTGACAGATGGCAAAAGCAAGACCTTCTCACAGAGCACAGATTAAGTCAGAAACAACATGAAATGGAAGAGCTGGGGTGGCGGTGGGTTACAGAGCGGCTTGCAGAGGCAGAAGAAACTGCAGGCAGGCTGAAGCAATGTAAATAGTGGAAGGCAATCTCCAGAGGGGCCAGCCCCCAAATTAACATATAGGTTTAAGATAACCTTTTACAACTTCATTAGTTTACCAATTTGTAGCTCATTCTTTGGTGTCATATTACGTTGTAATCTACACGGTGCAAATGTTCACAGGTTCGAACCCACAGTACTAATGCTGAATTAATCTGTGAGGTTATGCTGTGTGTTTGGAAGGGTTAAAGAAATCTAAGCTGGCAGCAATCACTTCAGAGTGTCGGGTCAGAACACTTGCAAATGTTCAGATGTGAGAGGAACAAACAGGCAGAGTCCAGGACTAAAGTTGTCATTCTTTGTATTTCCAATTGAGAATGTGCCCGCACCTGGGCGTGAGTGTGTGTGTGTGGTTTCTGTAGACAAAGCATAATAATACAAATCAAATTACATAATAAACATAAAGATACAACTGAGGTGTACTCAAGTACAGTATATAACTAAATAAGCTGACATTATACTTCAGACTGGTTACATAAACTTAAAATCAGACATTATGCATTAACACACCGCATACAACTATGCACTGGAGGCAATTTTACATTGGGTTATCATTTGTTACACAGAGCACAGAATCAACAACACGATAACAACGAATCTCTCTGCTAGAAGCTAATTAGCGAACAAATCTGTTATGCTAGCGAACTGCCACTTGTACATAACGTCACTTA